TAATAATGCTAATGATGAGGAACTGCTGATCTTCCTGAAACAAGGGACTCTAGATAGGCTGACTAGACTTAGTGGATGGACTTACACTGGGGAATGGCTGGAGACACTAACAACCTAGTGGGACTTAACAGAGATGACCGAGTGTATGGGTTCCAGTGGGGGTGGTATGGGAGGGTGCCTGTGGGGAATGGGGTATAAAGATGATTAAGATTGATTGAGCTGTTCTGTATGAAATACACAAAAAAATTCAATAAAAAATGTTTGGGAAAAAAATAATGCTAATGATGTTAAAATACATACAGTGCAGGCTGGGGTGACGGCTGAGTTGGTAAATTGCTCACCTTGCAAGCATGAGGATCTGAGTTCAAACCCAGAGCCACTACAAAAGCCAGGTGAGGTGACACACACTAGTAGTTCCATTATTGGGGAGTTGGAGCCAGGTGGCTCTCTATGGCTCACTGGCCAGCCAGCCAAGCCTACTTGGTAAGTTCCAGGCCAGTGAGAGACCTCTCTCTCAAAAAAAAAAAAAATTGAACAGCACCATAGGGACAACACCCAAGGTTGTCCTCTGCTCTCCATGCACAGATGAACACACACACACACACACATACACACACACACACACATGTATACACACACAATGATGTGTACTGAAATTAATTAATACTATTCTGATCATGTCTCACCTTTGAGTGGTTAAACTCGTAAAAAGAAGACTAATCTGAATTAAAACAAAAAAGTCTTGTCATTCAATTTCAAGGCTAAAATGGAACCCCAGCTTAAATCAACTCCACAGGACAGCTGGGGAGTATCCAGCCTTTCTTCCCACTCTATCACCAAGCTACCCACTCGGACTCCACACTGCTTATTATCCTAAAAAGATCACAGCCAGTAAACTCCACACTTTGTTCCATAAACTGGGAAATGCATAGCATTTTTTGGACCCAGGTCACAAAGGCCTGGGACACCCGTCCTATCATGTCTGCAGAAAAGTCAGGATTTCCTCACAGGCAGCCAGTGACCTGATCTAGTAAGGGTTCTCATCTCATGAAAGGTGGTATGGGTGGGCTATCCCCTCAGCCCCAAGTCTTTAAAAAAATCATTATTTAATCCTCTTAAAACCTATGTAGCAGAATAATTTTGATACTTGTACAAAGTATATGATAGATATATATGATAGACATATATGACATATATGCATATATTACATGTATATTTATATATACACACATGTATCTCAGGAAGTCAGTGAGACTGTGCATCTGAATAAAGTCATTTATATAGAAGTTCATAATGTGTTGAGAATGAAAATGAATATTAATTCAACCACTAAAGAAGATTTTTCTGGGAATGAGGCACGGATATGATCAAAATGTATTATATACATGCATGAAATTCTCAAAGAGCAAAATTTTCAAACGATGATTTTTGTTTTAATCCCAAACTTTAAAGATTTGGTCCAGTGACTCAGAAGGAAATTCCTGACCTCATTTTCTCTGCTCCTGTCATCGAGGCCTCAGAATGGAGATGTATGCACATGTAACAAGTGCTATTTTGAATATCAGATTCCCGTCTTAAGATCTCACTTGAACACACAGACAGAACACAGACATCCAGTGCCTGGATGCATACACTTCTCCCGTCGCTTTCTTCCCTCACTTTACTGGAGAGCCCTGTTCTTATAGCAACTTACATCTCTGTCATCCAGGGTTCTGGCACTGGAACTTTCTATGACCATTTCTTACTCAGTGATTTGGTAAAAATACCAAGGCGAATCTGACAGCTACAGATGATGAGCCCATTCTTTAACACTTCCCCAATGACTCTAGGGGCCCAAGAGCACAGAGGGTAATAAATGGAAAACATCTTCATGGTGATTTATCATTGTCATGATTGTTTTTGGTGAAAACATGCCTGGAAAAATTTTAGAATGTCTGATCCTCAGATGTCAAGTATTTCCTTCTCAGAGTGACCCCCTACACTGCTACCATGGGTGATAAATAGCCAGGTTCAGAAAAACAGGGGGACGTGACTGTACAGCTGTAGGGACACCAATTGCTCCAAGGAAGCTGCCTGAGCCCAGGAATAACTTGGTAGAAACCTTAAGCTGGAGCTCATTCATACATAGTTTGATTTTGAATCACAATAAAAGCCTTCCACAGTACAAACTGGCACATCTCTGGCTCTGTGCCTATCACAGAGTACAGGAGAATTCATGGGGTTGTTGGAATGAGATAGGAATAAGGACACTTGTTTTCTAGTACAGCAGGCACAAAATGGCTGCAGGGAGGGAGGGAGAAGGGCCAGTGGAGTCCATCGGGACCACAAAGTGAAGGATAAACCCAAAAAGAAGAGGAAGCGAGAAGAGAAAGAAGGAAGAAAGGGAAGGAGAAACGAGGAGGGAAAAACAGGGAAGGAGGGGAGGGGAGAGAAGGGAAGGGAAGGAAGGAAGAAGAAGGAGGAGAGGGAGAGGGAGGGTAGAGAGAACTTGAAGGAGGAGAGAGGAAGGGGGAGCAGAGGAGAAGAGACAGAGAAGGGAAGGGAAGGGAAGGGAAGGGGAGGGGAGGGGAGGGGAGGGAAAGAAAACCAGTAGTACCTATCTTTCCACCAAGTTTTCCAGAACTTAATAAAATGAGGCCACATTGCCCTTTCTATCCCTGAGCAAGAACTGGGTCTGGCTCCCACTTCCGGGAGGACCCAGACAGACCCTTCTCTTCTGCCTTTGGGACAAGTCTGCTCTCTTGGGAAGTCCTGTGTCTCTTCCACCACAAGACCGAATAAACCAAGTCACAACATACTCGAAAATGATTCCACTGTAATGAGACAGGAAGTTCCATCTTCTAAGAAGTTTTACCGGAGGCCTGCAGGACCTGCCCATGGGAACTTAGGGAAGCTCTGACGCAAACAATCGGGCCCCTGGCTTGTCTGCTACAAGGAGGGAAACTAGGCGAGACACAAGTCCATAGAAAAGGAATCAAAGCACCCACCTCACGGGGAGGGCAAACAGGAAGTAAGGGCATTAGGATCATCTTCTCTGGCTTGTTCTTCACTTTGTTAGCCCGTGGACCCCACTGGCCCCTCTCCTTCCCCCTCTGCAGACTCTGCCTGCCATGCTCCAACACAAGTGTTTTCTCATCCTTCCCAAACCCCATAAACCCTCCTGTACCCCACGGCAGGCACAGAGCCAGGGGTGTGCTCATTTGTGTTATGGAAGATGATGACGACTGTTAAGAATTCAACTATTACAGTATTTATGGATCAGCTGCACGCATGTAGTTTTCCATAAAGCTGCCCACTTTTCTGAATTCTTCAGGGAAGCATAGCCTCGCCTTTTCTTCTTTACATCTTTCTGAACAATTCGTTCTCTGACACTTTGGACTGCCCCAACATTTTGTTCTTTCTTACTCTTTCTTTAAAGTCCCCCTCCCCACCTGCCAGTCTGTCACTGTCTGACCTCCATGCAGGCTCTAAATGGATGTGGAGTCATGGCTTTTTCCTTTCCCTTCCATTCTCCTCCTCAGGGCGGTTGCTAAGATTTACAGTTTGCCTGCCTGAGGGTTTTTATTTAGATTTGAATAAAATTGTCCAAAAATTTCTGTTTGAGTCCATTCTTAAATTCTTTTATGGATGAAACTAGGAGCTGTAAAAGGGGAAGCTATTTCCCCTGTGTCAATAACTTTAGTAACTATTTTTGTAAACCATGACCATGAAAAATAGATACAATTTGGGTGTCTCAGCAAGCTGTCTATGGATAGAGAGGAAAGATGCATAGCCCCACACAGCTGCAGAATCAGTTTACCCCAAGGACTTTTTTTCTTTTTAACTTTTAAATGTTTTATTTATTATTTTTATTTTATGTGTATGAGTGTATTGCCTGCATATCTATAAGTGCACCCATGTATGCCCACAGAGGTCAGAAAAGGGCATTGGATCCCCTGGAACTAGCATTACAGAGGCTTGTTAGTTGCCATGTGGGTACTGGGAAATGAACCTGGGTCTTCTGCAAGAGCAGCCAGTGCTCTTAACCACTGTGCCATCTCTCCATCCCCTGGGGACATTTTCTTGCCTCCCACTGTACCTGATATTAGCTGCTCTTTACCTCTATTTGGTGAAGCAGAGAACTTAGAATTTGAATATTTAGAGTTTCTTCTGGACTCTCAAGAAAGTCCAGCCCTTGGTATGTTTCTCCATGATTAGTGTACCCCAAGCTTTGCCTTCTTTTTAGTTTGAGGGCTAATAAAAATCATATGATGTAAATGGCACGCAGTTTTTGGGTTCTACCAAGTCCTCCTGGGACCAGGCCACCAGCTTCCTTGGGAGCAGTTGAGGACCCTACAGCTGTAAAATGGGAAGCCAGGAGAAGAAGTACATGGTCTGAGGAGTCCATGAGGGATGGCACAGTGGAGCCCAGGTGACTTGGAACTTAGGAGTCTCCCAGACAAGCAAAGGAGGATGACAGGCAGTCACCGAGGATGTGAGGATCCCAAGTACAAGGCCAACATGGGCAGCTTAGCAAGACCCTTTCTCAAAATAAATAATAAGGTAGAGGAAATAGCTCAGTTGTTAAAAGGCCCTGAGTTCAATACCAAGAACCTATATTTCAAAAGCTGGGCGTGGTGGTAGCATATACTTGAAATCCTAGTGTTGGGGAGACAAAGACAGGGATTCCTGGGGCTTGGTGGCCAGCAAGCGTAGCCTATTTGGTGAGCTCCAAGCCAATGTGAGGTTCTGTCTCAACCAACATGGTGGATGACTCCTGAGGAATAGCACCTGAGGTTGACCTCTGATCTCTATATACACGTGCACACATGTGAACACACACATACATGAACAAAATAAATAAAAGGACTAGAGATACAACTCCAGATAGAGTGCTTGCCTGGTTTACAGAAGGTCCTAGATTTAATATCTAGAGAGAGAGAGAGAGAGAGGAGAAAGTTGTTGTAGAATTATAGCATACGCCACTTGATTGGACTTTACCAAGCAAGAAGTTCACATACCAGCTCGTTTTTGCCTTGGTGGCTCTTCCCCAGCTAGTTCATGTTCATGGAGAATCTGAAAGAACATTTAGACACTTGTCAGTTGATACGAGAAAAATACTTTTTCACCCCTCTGCTTCCTGCTCACGTGCCCCTAATAGGTATGAGAGTTGATCTCGCAAATGCAGATTTAGGATCAGCGCCCATGCGCCCAGAGGATGGTGCTAGGAAATATACAGAACTGTCTCTAAGATGACCCCTCTTTTTACAAACTCGTCTCTAGACCCAGGAGTGGAAGAAAGCACTGCTTCTGAGTTTCTCCATGCCTGGACTGTGTCAAAGAAAATATTCTGTCTACTCTAAACTTGTGCTGTCCACCCTAGACTTGAACCCTGAGTCAGGCCGATGGGGCTAGATGAGTGAGTCTCCCGATCTTTTCCCAGAATTCAGCCTAGCCAGCTCCAGTGTTTAATCTGCATTCAGACTGCCTGAGCATCTCCTGCTTAGAAATGATTGTTCTCTCCTCTGGCCCTTTTCTTCTAGACCCTAGATGATTCTATTATTGGCTTCTCTGGCCAGCTCTAGATTCAGATCACTGCATGCTTACCTGTGTCTCTCATCACCCTATGGCCTTAGGGAAGTTACTGATGCTCAGTGAGCCTTCCTTTCCTTTGCTGTGAAATAGGAATAAGGATAGTGCCAACTTCACAGGATTGTCATAAGATCTAACTGAACTACAATATGGCACAGACTAAGCTCTAAATAAACTGTAGTTACTATATAGCTCAGTGGTTAAAAGCAGAGACTCAGGAAGGAGAGAGACTCAGTGGATAAGAGCCCTTGCTGTGCAAGCAAGAGGACCTCGGTTCAAATTCTCAGAACAAATGTAAAATGGCTGCACATGATTGTACACATAATGTAACTCCATCTCTGTATGAAATGGAGGCAGGAGGATCGCTGGGCCTTGCTGGCTGCCAGCCTAGCTCCAGGTTCAGTGAGAGACTCTCTCAAGGGGATAAGTCAAAGAGTGATAGAACAGAATGCCAGACATCCTCCCCTGGCTTCTACATGTGCATGATTGCATACATCTGCACACACAGGTACATGCACCATATATATATACAGAGAGAGAAGGAGAGAGAGAGAGAGAGAGAGAGCACACATATACATACACACAGAGAGAGAGACCACAAACACACACACACACACACACACACACACACACACAGAGACCATACATACACACACAGACATAGAGAGACACCAGAGAGAGAGAGAGAGAGAGAGAGAGAGAGAGACAGAGAGCGAGAGAGAGAGAGAGAGAGACCATACACTCGGGGGAGGGGGGACAAAGACTCTACTGATACTGAGTTCAGATCCTAGCTTGGCTTCTGACAAGCTACTTAATGCATCTCTGTGTCTGTCTCCTAACTAGTCACATGGAGATAAATACAACCTACTTTACAAGGCTATTGCAGATGTCAAATGCTTGACTGCTAAATATAAAGAACAGAAAAGAGCTTTGGTTGCCTCGTAGATGCTCTCAGGGACCAGATCTCACACACTGTGCTGGAAATAAGGTTCACCTCTGTCTTGCTGCCTGGTTCTCATCAAGTTCACCTCTTTACAGCATGTGTCTGTGATGAGGAGCTGACGTTGGTCAACTTTGCTGATGGAATCTGTGCCTGCTCAGTAGCCGGTAACCAAACCTCCCCTTACCTTGACCTAACCTGGACTTCCTCATGCCTTCCTGCCTACAGGAAGACTCTTCTGTGATGTCCTTCCAATCCAAACTCCCTCCAAGGCTCAGTGGACAGGCCCCAACTCTTTGAAGTCTGCCCAGATGACCCTGTGCATAGGAATGTGTCTTTTCCGATGAACTTCACACATCTCTGAACACCACCCAGCCCTGAGCTGATTCATGCCATCTGTGTTTCCTGCTGTGACTTTCTAGTTATCTCTCATAATGATAACATACACTTCCTAAGCTGTAGTATGCCTTCCGTACTCGGAGAATCAAAGGTGCTGTGACTATCCACATTTCCCTGATGAGAAACACAGGACCAGAAAGTGCCTAAGGTCATCCACTTCGTGGGAGTGAGGATTCAAAGCCTGCCCTTGCTTATGTGGGCTCTGGAGATACCTCAGAAACACATCTTGTCTCCATGAGCTTGTCTCTTCTTACCTAAACTGTCTCTCCTTGATTGACGGTCTCTTTCTCTCTCCTCCTCCCATAGCTGGTCTCCCTCCCCTTTCTAAGCTATGCTTCGGGAAATTAGAGCTGGTTTATGTGTTCCCCTCCTTGCCATCCTTAGGTGACACTGACTGAGGAGAAAATAAAATGTGCAAGAAGTGAAGATGGGGAGGGACTGTGCACCTGAGTGTTCACGAACGTTCTTGAAGAAATCCAGACATGATGGATAGTGACTGGAATTTCAAATCCCACTTGCTGCTTCCTTTCCAGTGAGGTTATTTTTGAGGAATGTGGGCATGCAGGAACTGAAGGTGTACAATGTATAGGGTGGTTCCTGTCAGCTTCCCCTGTGTCCTGCTTTGGCCCTGTGCCCAGGCAGAGGAAGGTTCTGCCCTGCAGTTCTGTTTCCATCCTCCCTGGGGCCTGGGGAGAGGCTAGCCACCCATCTAAGTCCTGATCTGTGGTTGAGGGACTCAGACAAACCAAAAGGATGCAACCTCCAGGGGTCAACCTCCAGGGCTCAGCTTTGGGTAGCTCTCCCAGGTCAATAGTTTATGTTCTCTGTTTTCCAGTGGGACTCCAAAATTGGTGCTCTCTGTGGTATATTAACATCAAGGCACACTTCAATTCTAATGCAGAATAGTATTTGTGAAAATAGTCTCTCGCCTTTCCAACCCCCAGGCTGGTTAAGCACATCTACTGATAGGGGAAGAAAACCACCTTGGTGACCAGGGCCTCTCAGGTGTGAAGCTACTTTTTAGGAATCACTGCTTCATGGAGATTGCGCTAATCTTTCTAGCAATCATCTGGAACTTTCTGGGCACATCTTTGCAAAAAGCTGCTTCCATATCCATGCCTTCTTGGCTCTTTGTGGTCTAGTGGTAAACAGAACTAGACTGCTAGGTCCTGGGACCCGGATTCAAACAGAGCTGAGCCCCAGTGCCTTCTCCTCCTTACGAGGTGGGAAAGACATCCACTCCTTCTAGACGTCTGATTCTTACGCTCTGAACAGTCTGTGTGCAAAGGCATGTTAAGTGCCTGGTGTGGTCTCTGGCAGTGTTGTATGCTCATGTGCCCTGCCATCCTGGAGCTCACTGGGACCAGCCTTGCCATCTTGAGTCCTAGGGTGGCCATGGTTTGGGAAAATGTGAGACCTCAGCATTTGCCTTTGCTACTGAACCTTTCTTTCTGGATAGAATGACTCAGGAGGGAATGTGGGTTGGGCTAGCGGCTCACAAAGCTCTGCTGGGTTATTGACTTTAGATGAGAAAACAGCTCCCAGTTAGCTCTTTGTCTACAAACCCTATGCACAATTCTCCAGATGAGGATCTGAGCCACAACTCTGTCCAGAGGGGATTTCCTGATGGCAGAGATTCAGCCGGAAGAGACGAGGCCACCAATTCCAGGAAGTGCCCCACCTTTCAGATGGGATGGCTTTCCAAATAACTCCAGTAGAAGTGAGGTGACCTGGACTGGGGAGGGCACTGAGTCAGGAATGAGAGGTGGGGTGTGTGTGTGTGTGTGTGTGTGTGTGTGTGTGTGTGTATGTGTGTGTGCGTGTGTGTAGGATGAGTGTGCAATTGTGTATTTGTGTGCACTTGTGTACGTGTACATGTGGAGGTCACAGGTCAACTTTAGGTGTCTTCCTCAGTCACTCTCCACTTGCTTTTTGAGACAGGATCCCCTACCTTGACCTAGAGTCACCAATTTGGCCATGCTAGATGATGGTCCACTCCAGGGATCCTCCCGTCTCTGCCTGTGCCTCCCTCGCCCAACCCAGTGGGATTACAAGCATACAGCACCACACCCAACATTTTACATGGATGCTGAGGATCAAACTCAGGGCCTCATTCTAACATGGCAAATACTTTATCAACCAAGCCATCTCCCCAGCCTAAAGGGTGAAAAGAAAATCCCAAGGGAAAAGGATGGCAAAGAAAAGCCCACCAAAGTCTCCAAATGTCCCAAATATCAGTCATTCACCAGACCCCTGACATTCACTCCTTCTGTTGACCTAGAAGGCTGACTTAACCCTTTGCCTCCATGCTGGATAATTACCTTACCCAAATCCCTGTTAGCACATCTCCTCAGAGGCCAGCAAGGCACACTGATTTGAATATTAAAGATAATGACCATTTCAGAAGCCCTTGGCCTCTGCACTAGCAGTGATGCTAAGACATAAATGTATGGGAGTGTTTGACCTTTACATCAAGCCAAAGAAGGAGATACTATTTGCTCTTATTTTATGTGGAAGATATAGATTCAGAGAGGAGAAGAAGATAATGAAAGTTCCAAAACATAGTTAAGGTCAGGGCCTCAGTGCAGGTGTGATGCCAAGGTTAGATATGTACAGTTTGTTACTGTGAGGGTGGCCACTGGAGTTGTGAGTGCTGTCCGAAAGGGATGAGGATAGGTGGGGTGCACACGTAAAGTTTGCGAAGCACTGGGGTCCATTGTCATATTTCAAAGGTTTATCTTTGTAGTTTGTACCTGGTTCACAGAAATATCATACACAATAGCCAAGAAGTGAAATCAAGTCAAGTGTCCATCAGTGGACTAACGATAAAGAAAACATGGACCAAAACAATGTAATATTATGCAGGAAGGGAATTCTGACGTAGGCTACGATGTGGATAAACCTTAAGGGCATTATGCTAAGTGACAGAAGTCAGAGACACTCACTTAATGAGTTAGAGTCATGATATTTTGTAAAGACAGAAAGTAAAATGGTGGCTGCCAGGATCTGGAGGAGGAGGACGGGGAGCATGTTGCTCAGTGGGTGGAATTTTAGCTTCGCTTTGGGAATCAGCTGCATAACAATGTGAATATCTTTAATACTCTACCGAACTATGCACTTTAAAATGGCAAATTTCTTGTTAGATGTCTTTTACTATAATTAAAAGAAAGTCTATTATGACATGCTGTTTTTAAGACAGGAAGGTCACTCAAGGACTAGGAGACAGCTGAGGACTGCCTAAGTTGATCAGGCAGACTAAAGTGCATTCTTCAATGGAGCTCCTCAGCTTTGGGTTGTAGAAACATACTATGCCTTGAAAGGCAGGTATAAACAGGAAAAGTAAGGTCTTTGGGGCTGGTGGCAAGAGGTTCCATGGAGATGAACTTCAAGTTCTAATAACAAGCCACAAGGTCACTGGTTTATCCCATGAATAGCCTGTGGCACCAGGCAGTAGAGAAGGCTTACCACCTAGCACGAAGGGAGGACATGGGCATGGCTATAGCCAGGAACACTTCTGAAACAGAGGCTAAGCTAACTCCAGTGTGGAGCTCACCTCAAGCTCTTGTTTGAAACCCCACCTGCTCTGAATAAGTATCGCTAGACAAGTAAAAACGTCCCCCCAGTCTATATGAGCAGACTTTTACTCTGTTGTACCCCACATACCAGAGTTTTCAAGAAGAGACATACTATGTATATCCCTCAAGTCATAAGAGGGGAAAAAAGAAAAAGACAAATAAAACACAGCTCAAACAACAATAGCATACCAGAAACAGATAAACGAAGAAAGTATATAAAGTCATTGTGATGCCGAAACCTCATCATCAACTTGGCAGGATTAAGAATCACCTGGGATATTGAAGTACATCTCTTGGCTTTTGTGTAAAGACATTTCTAGAGAGGGTTAACTTAAAGGGGAGGACCCACCCTGGGTGACAGGTGGGGGCCCCAGAAGGAACAAAAACAGATACAGAAGAAAGACAGCCAGACACCCACATTCCCATTTCTCTGTCTCACAACTACTGCGGTTTGACCTTCCCTGCTTGGCCATGCTGCCCCCTGATGGACCGAGATGCCTGGAACCATGAGGAAAATAAATTCTTCATCCCTTAAATTGTTTAAGTCCAATATCTGTTCCGACACAGGAAGCTAAATAACGTAGCCATGAAACAAAATGCTGAAGGCAAGATCAAACTCTTCAAACATACCAAATGCAAATAAGTTGTACTGCCTGAATCAGAGCTAAATTCCCTCAGTTTAGCTTCAATAGAAGAAAAACAAAAGTCTCAAACACTTATTTACCTGGAAGTTACTAAAACTCTAACCATAGTGATAACAGAGTAAACAGACCTACAATAGCTAAAACAAGAAGAACGAGCAGTGGGGCTGGAGAGATGGCTCAGCTGTTAAGAGCACTGGCTGCTCTTGCAGAGGACCCGGGTTCAATCCCCAGCACCCACATGGTGGTTGACAACCATTCGTAACTCCAGTTCCAGGGGATCTGACTCTCTCTTCTGGCCTCCACAGGCATTACATGACATGAGTGCACTTAGCACATGCAGGTAAAACATACACATAAAATAAAAATAAATAAATGAAAAAGGAGAATGAGCAGAGGAAAATAAGATTATAGTGGGACAAACAAGAACAGCTCGTGTAGTATTCACTGTGTGCCAGGCACATTCTAAGGCCCGTTATAAACAGAAACTAATATCATTTTCACAGCAATCACAGGAAAATAGTATTACTATTAACATGACTTTAAAGTTGAAGAAACTGAGAAACAGAATTACATCTATCAAGATTAACCAGTCATGTCCAGGTCATGTCTCTGGAGAAAACATGTAAATAATCATCCATGAATTCCCACAAGGAGCAAATATTCTTATCATCCCCTTTAGTTAATTTTAATTAAGCTAAATGTCCACTGACTTCCCATAGACAAAAGAACCTGGTTTATTTCTGAGCACAGGCCTTAGCTATTACCCATGATCTTTTGAGCCCCATTAACCTGTGATTGTGATAACCACAGAGAGATTAATGTCTCTTGAACTGTCTTGTAGGCTGATGCTCAAGGAAAGTCCTTTGAGAACACATGTTCTGCTCAGCCCTCTGAATCTGCTTTATCAGTCAGCTTTAGTGCAAAGCCCCAGACTAGCAGGTGCATACAGCCTTTTGATACTGTAACAAGATACAGTCATCCACAAGGCACAAGGTCAAGAACCATGCAATCAGGTTATTATTTTTAATTTCATAACACTTTATGATTTCATGGACTACATTCACAGTTCCCTTTGGCTACATGTGGCCCACTGGCTAGGTTGGGCAAGCCTGGTGGAAACTTCAGTCTAGTTAGGGAGGTTGCCTGGGAGAGCTCTACTGATACATCCACAGATTTCAGACTACAGTGAGTTGCAGCTCAGTGAATACACTAATGACCATTTATGTTCATTTGCAGCATTTTCTCAAAACCCTCCCCCATAGCACTTTTTCGAAGAATGATTTTCCATTTGGGAACCTTCCCAAGAAGTCAGAGAGACTTCCCAAGAGAACTACAACAGGGAAATGCTAGTACACATTGCTTTACTCACCAAAGAATGGGCAGTAGGCTCTGAGTTCAAGTTCAGTGTAGCCTCGGAAGAACAAATCACAACCACCACGAAGCAGAATGTGATTTTCCTTGGGGCCTTCATTTCTTCTGGTTTGAGTTGTTTTGCCTAAAATGGAAATACGAGGGCTTAGAGGCAGAGCAATTTATTTATGAAACAAGAAAAGAATTACCAAGCCTTGTTAAGAAGTGACACCACACAAGGACCTTTTCAATAGAGGGAAAGGGAAGGACACAAGGGAACCAATTTGAGGAAGCAATCCCTGCCCCTGAGTGACGAGACTGCGGGTCAGGTAGATGGGGGTGGGGTGAGATGGTAATGCAGGTAAGTAGAAGAAACATAGTGGGTTTGGGGGGAGCACACAGGGAGTGAGGGAGAAGGAAAGATGAGGGGAATCAGGATAGAGAAAGAAAGCAAGAAAAAAGAATGAACTATTTAGTAAGGAATACTTTTAGGCCTTGGTGATGGATGATTCAGTGGGTAAAATGTTTGCCCCTCTAGCATGAGGGCTGAATTTTGGATTCCCAGAACCCACTTGCAGCTGGATGCTACAGTGCACTTCTGTAATCCAAGTGCTCCTATCACCACAGGATCCCTGAAAGCTCATAGCCAGTTTGCCTGGTATACACAGGAGCCAACAAGAGATGCTGTTTCAAATAGAGTGGAAGGTAAGGACTGGCCCCCAGATTATCCTCTGACCTCGCACGCACCATGATGTGCACGTTCTCCCCCCAACACACACGCATCATGTTTCCACACACCATACACTCGCATAAATGAACACATACACACAAAGATTTTTTAAAGGCTTTTAATATTGTGATCCAATTAACAAATTACATGACAAAAGCATTTGAGAACTTAGCACTTTCGTTACAAGAAATGCCTTTTAATATTTTCAAGTCTATCCTAACTTATCTTTATTTTATTTTAGTTTTTTAGTTCTGGAAGCAACCCATTCAATTGACCCCATGACTCATATGAAGGCTTATGACTCATTAATATGAAAACTCCCATACTTAGTTATAAAATTCCGATTTTATTTCATGACATGATTTTATCTAATAGTATATAACGTGTAATATTAACATCATAAAGTATCTCATCAGATGCATTAACTTTTCAAACCATCTCTTTATAATGCTGGTGGTTGAAAAGTGGAACCTTTTGATAACCAGATTAAATCACCACTACATTTGCAAAGCAGAGCATTGCACAGCGTAATCTCAGCCCAAGTACATACAGAAGCAAGAATAATGGCACTGCAGAATCCTTTTCTTGCTGGCTTGAGTGTGTATGTATGTGTGTGTGTGTGCATTATGCCCATGTGTGCAAATGTGTGCACATGTGTGCTCACCTGTTTGTGCAAGTATGGAGGCCAGAAGTCAATTTCCACTATTTCCATCTATCACTCTCCTCACTTTTTTGAGGCAAAGTCTCTTGTGAAATCTGGAGGTCACTGATTGGTTGAGCTGAATAGCCAGTAGGCCCCCAGGATCTGCCAGTCTTTACCTCCCCAGGGCTGGGATTACAGGCACTTGCCACTATGCCAGGCTTTTTCATGGGTGCTGGGGAATCCTCCTGTTCACATATCAAGCTCTTTACCCACTGAGCAATCTTCCCAAACCCCTTTCTGGCTTTCCTATTCTCACGTATGCCCATGAAAAAAAACAGACTGAGATAGATTTAGGTCCAGGATCACTATAAGGACCCATGTCCTTGCATAAGTCACTTATCTTCCTTGAGCCTAAGTAAATTTTTCCACCTGTAAAATGGGAACAACTATACCTTCCTTAATTCTTTCAGAGCTTTCTGACATTCAAATGCCAGGAAGAGCTCTAGAGATACAGACACTGAAAAAATAGGGTGAAATAGGATAGAATAAATCAAAAGCAACGAATCACAGTGCATGTAACTCCCCAATGGGCAGTAGGGGCAGAGGGCAGCCAGGAGGAAGTTACAGGGAACACCAGGGAATTGAGATCAGGATACTACACTAACAGGCCCAGAGGCACATGCCAGGGAGAACTATATTTCAATCACCAATAGCTGACTGCATTTTCCTCTTCCCTAGTTAGAAAGAGGGGAACGAAAGACCTTGGAAAATGATACAGCTCGAAAATCTGGCAATCAAATACATTTTTTAAATTCTTCAGCTCAGTGGTTTTAGGAGAATACTTTGCAATTTTGGTGATGGAAACAGATGTTGAAGGCCAGCTCCATCTGCTGGAGGGAAACCATAGGGACACGTAACTTAGTCCTCTAGCTGGAAGTTCCCCTCCCTGATTGAAGGATGTATATTTTTTATGTGGGACAAGCTGAGGTAACCTGCTGATAGCAATTGTCCCTAGGATGGATCAACCCATCATATATCCAGAAAAGATACTCCCTTCAAGAGGCAACTTAAACTTTTTAGGCCCCAAGGTAGTGGTGCACTATATACTAGTTGGCATCACACTGAGGACGTCATCAAGAGTGTGAGATTTAGTAGCTGGAGAAATGGTTCAGCAGTTAAGAGTGCTTGTTGCTCTTCCAGAGGGGATGAGAATTTGTATCCCAGCACCCACATCAGGCAGCTCACAACTTCCTGTAACTCTAGCTACAGGGGATCTGACAACCTCTTCTGGCCTCTGTGGGCACCCACACACACACATGAAACAAATACACAGACACATAAACAATTTAAAAAGTAAGAACTGAAGAGATGGCTCAGCAGTTAAGAGCACTTGCTGCTCTTGCAGAGGACCCAGGTTCAGTTCCCAGCACCCACATGGTGGCTAACAACAGTCTGTAACTCCAGTTCCACAGGATCCAATACCCTCTTCTGACCTCTGAGAGCACTGCAATAACATGGGTGCAACTACATGCATGGAAGGAATACACAAATACCCATAAAATAAAAATAATAAATAAATAAAAATGAACTTACAAAGAGAAAATAGGATGCAGCCGCAATGATTTCAGCATTTTTATGTCTCTTTGTATTTACTTTTAGTGATTATCTAATGTAAACTTCATTTTTATCTTTTTTGCCTTGAGATGAACATAGAGAAGGAAATGTCTAGAAGACATGTCTGCATCCAAGTCTTCG